TCGTGTGCATGTAGCAAAAGAAAATGCCATGTGTTCAAAAGAGGGAACACCGTACCTTGTTCGAACTATTAAGAAATGAAGTCTGGTATAAGCAGCCACCACAGCATAACTCAAGTGATAACCACAGCTAGTGATAAAACAGGGCTGGGCATGCGGTCAGCTCGTGGCGGTCCAATATCTACAAGACGAGTTACCATCAGCAGGCAGGCCACGAGACATGCGCGCTGCCATGACGTGGTTTAAGGATCAGTTGTCACTAATCAGCAAAAAAAAAGAGAAAGACTTGACGCTTGGGGTTGGACAGCGGGAAAAGCACACCCACGTACATCTCTTCCACACAAGCAGCACACCACCCTGTTGCTGCCGCACTCAAGCGCGAACCACGCTAAAAAACACGCCACCCGCGAGCGACACCGAAGGTCGTGGCTTGGCCCTCCAGATGGCCAACCACGGACAACACATGTACGGGCCTCGCGCAACGGCTAGCGTGGACACTCTTGCGCATATCCGCCATCGTCCGCACGCCACCCACACATCACACAACACAGCCTGTATTAATCCTTCAAGCAAAATTGCTTGAGACTTGCCTGAGAATAAAACACCTTACATATTCTAAACTGCTGGTCCGTGTGGTGCGCGAGAGCGATGACTATCAGCACAGACGCGCGCGTGTATTTTCACTGGATTCGATCACCAACACTGGCTGCAAGTCGGCTGGCGCAGATAATTTATAGAGAATCACTCATGTGCGCGTTCGCGAGGGCCGGCTGGCGAACAGCCCACGCGGACCAGCTAGTGGACAAGTACATACCAGCTTTCGAGGACGCGCGCGCATGGAAAGACGAACTTGCGCTTCACAGCCGGTAGCAGCGTTTCTGGACCACAAGACCCTGAACCGTGATAGGCTGGGAGTCTAAGACGAAGTAGCTAAAGTGCGGGTCTCCCGCAGAGTATGAAAAAAACATCTATCGAGTATTGCCTATAGAAGCTGTGCCCTCCACACACAGCTCTCTTCCTAGGACTGGCCATGCGATCAATATAGGGTGTGAAGGAGGAACTGGTGGACTCTTTCAAAGTCTGATAAATAAAATCAAAGGTTTTGTTGCAAAAATAAACTCAATCAACAAAACACCAACATGAATTCTGATATAATCATCAGCTGAACCCAACTAGGACAGAATAATCTTTAGTGTTTCAAGTAAGCGGAGTGATTGTTCCCTGGGTATATTATGTAATCATGGTGATACACACACAGAGAGCTCAATCGACTACATGCTCAACTATAGCTAAAATAATTGGTGGTAATAATCTTGATTGATCACCAAGCATACAACACATATCAAAATACCGACAAACATGCTCAGCACACCACTCTCAAACAAATATTCCCTGATCTTACCCCCTCCAACCCACAACCACTATCCTAACGACACCCTTGTCCAGCAGGAGCAAGGGCATTAACCACTCGCACTCAGTCAGTCTCTTGCACGAGGCCAAACAAGCTATGCCTGCTGTAAGGGATCTATCTTGTCACTCTATCAGGACCCTAATTGCAGTGTGAAACACTCACTGCGAGCTAGTGTCGCTACGATACAAAAGTTAAGGTGTTAGACACACTAAGACTGCTGCTATTGTCCTATTAGCATGCCAATGTGGTCACATACGATTGGCAGGAATGACTGCTAGTAAAGCCAAAATCCTCGGATCCTCGAATAGCCCTCTATTCAGGCGAGCTGTGGGGATGATTCAGGTTCTTGGCATGTTCGCCACTGTGCTAGCCGCTCCCTGAATTTGTCTCTAGTCCAATGGCGCGCGTATTAGTTGGCTTATGACAGCGACTTAAAGAACGATAAGGAGTTAGCTCATACCACGCTTCTGAATCGCGGCTACAGTGGACAGCATACAATAGCCTGAACCGCTTCGGAAAGATGTAGTCCTGTACATGTTGTACGGCTACACATCGGCAACTGAAGACAGTGCTTGTTACGAAATAGCTGGTTAGCGCTTTGTGCAGGTTTGGCAACAACGCGCGTTTTAATAAGCCAGGCGGTTGTGAGTCAGTGAGCCTAAACAACTTAGTCCATAATATCATACGTCGGCTCTTGTACAATCCTTCGTGCAGCTCTCGCAGATTTGCACTATCCCGAGGCGCATACTCGAGGAAGTGTGGGCTGAACGACACTCGACGACGAACACCCCCGCCTTTGTGATACGCTCGCCCAGTCAGTAAGGACCAGTGAATGGTATTGGTTTCCAATTTTACAAGCGTACCGCCCCAATTGGTTCATGTACCCCAATTGACATTGAGGCATTTCCTCCGCCGCTGTGTTCCTCCGGGGAACAGCGGCCGAATTTGCTGTGTCCAGTTCGTGCTTTACGCACTTATATGGACAGGTCAAAAGAGTTTTGTTGTAGTGACCAACTCTTCATATCCTGGGCTAACCCTCAGAAGGGCAAGCCCGTTACCAAGCAACGGCTCTCCCACTGGATTGTGGAAGCGATTGCTTTGGCCTATGCGAGTCAGGGTTTGCAGGCACCTACGGGTCTGCGTGCTCATTTCGACTCGTGGTCTGGTCTACATCCTGGGCTTTGTTCCTAGGGTGTTTCCATCCAAGACATTTGTGCAGCGGCGAGCTGGTCCTCGCCGCTCACTTTTGTCCGCTTTTACAGGCTAGACGTCTCTGCTCCTAGTGTGGCCCGAGCAGTGCTGGGCCCCGTGTTGAGTCAGAGCTCTACCTGTTAAGTTCTGGTTGGTTTGGTGATTTTCCCCGTGTTGAGTCAGAGTCTACCTGTTAAGTTCTGGTTGGTTTGGTGATTTTCGAGATAAGCTTGTCTGGCAATACGGGAGCTTCAATATCCCATAGTGAGACATCGAACGGAGTGTTATGAATGAGAACTATAGGTTACTTACGTAACCCCAGTTCTCAGAGTAGCATGTAGTGAGATGTCTCACCAGACGGCCCTCCTTGCTAAGGTGAAGCGAGAAGAGGTGCTTATTTTGAATGACGCTGCAACGTGGCGCAAGCTACTTATAGGGTGGGTGGATTCCCTGACGCTGACGTCAAGATCACCAGCCAATCAGGATTGGCGTAATGAGATTGATGCTTCTGTTTGCTTCGCGACGAGGCGCATCCCATAGTGAGACATCTCACTACATATTACTCTGAGAACTGGGGTTACGTAAGTAACCTATAGTTTTCCTGAAACCACAGGCAGTGTAACACCACAACTGTGTGTGTTGATTTATGTTATCAAAATAAGAAGAAGGAACTAATCCAAAATAAGGCTGCTCGATTTGGAAAAAATAAGTAATTGCAATTATTTATAACATTATAATTGCGATATGATTCACAATATTGGAGGGATTGATCATTTAGCATCATTATTCTCATTATCATTATAAGATTTCTGTTTTCACCCTCTGTCTGAAACCAGAGCCCAGTCTGCTCTGATTGGTTAGCTGGCCGGCTCTGCTGTGATTGGCAGGGTTGGGTTGTAACGGAATACATGTAACGGCGTTACGTAATCAGAATACAAATATCAAGTAACTGTATTCAGCTCGCGTTAAACCCCTGGCCGAAATGTCCTTAAACTGAAGTCCAAGTTCGACATTTTAATTTTTAACGCGAGCTGAATACAGTTACTTGATATTTGTATTCTGATTACGTANGAACGGGCGTGTCGCATTCTGTCCTGCCAGTGTTGGCAGGACATTAATTAAAATGTCGAACTTGGACTTAATTTTAAGGACATTTCGGCCAGGGTGTAGAGCTATATTTGTTTAACCACCGGATTGGCAAAACAGGAGAGTGTGTGCACCAGTCTGCCTTGATCTAAGTATTCATGTCTGTGACACTCACAGCATCTGCTGCCCGCAGCTGCTCTATAGAATGAAATCTCTGCAACACCAGGAGGCAGCGGGAGGGTGAACTCAGTCTCTGAGAAGAGGAGCGCGCAGTGCCTTTCACGCACCGCCTTCACTGTTNGAAGGCGACACGCCCGTTCTAAGCCGTGTCCCTCACTCTTCACATCCCAAGCTGCATCCCCAAAAAGTTTATTATGTTGTTACATCGTTTCAGATGTTATGTTTCAGTTGTGCTCTTGATAAGCCATTAAAACAGTAAAAACACGTTCCGTTTCCTTTTGCTTTTTGTGTCTCCTGTTCACCAAAAACATACCCATCTGTGATGGAAAAAGAAAGTAATCCAAAAGTATTCTAAAAGTAAGATTACTTTTTTAAGACACGTAACGGTAACTGTATTCGGATTACTTTCAGAGCCATGTATTCAGTAATCAGTAACTGATTACATTTACAAAGTAACCCTCCCAACCCTGGTGATTGGTCAACCGCTTAGAGATGTCCCGCCCCTTAGCCTATCACGTACAATGTGTTGGAGCAATAGCCAATAGAAGTGCAGGTGTTACGTAGTGATGTCACTATGTTACTGCAGTGGAGGCATCTCAGGCAGGGGGGGAGTGTGTGGGACAGAAACTCCCTCTGGACAGAACATTGGGATTTTAGCTTTTGCAGACCATTTACGTGCACTGAAACCTTTTAAACACACAACATGAAAGGGAAAACCCCCAAAACCATAATAGGGCCCCTTTAAATATTGTTCTTCCTACAATATGAACATTGTGCCAGCCCACATTTTATTTTGTATTCAATTTTTTACACTTGTTCAGCCCTAATGCAGAGTTTTTAGGCAGTTACAGTAGCTCTGCTCAAAGTGTGAATGTTTCCCTTTAACCAAGCAGAGAAACCACGAGAACTTGGATCTTCTATTCCTGCTGTTATAGTAAAAAAACATTCATATATGTGCACAAAATACCAAATTTGTGCACTTATTAAGTCCATTTGAGGTTATGAAATTCTCACTTGTGTGCCTCTGTAGTTTTTACAGTTAATAAAAGCACATTTCTGAGATGAGGCAAATGCACAAACATTTGGACATAAAATGACTTGAAGTTGCAATGAATGCCTTTGATTACCCGAGTCTTACTTCAAACACGGCTGTAACTTTTGGTCAACTACATTAGAAAGCATAAAGAAATCATCATATATTTTGAGACATTAGGACTTGTATTTGTTCCATCCATCCTGACCAAATGATCCTTTAACATACTGAGGGAGAGATTTGAGGCAGAAGCCACATTATCATTGTATTCTCATTACACTCCCTCATTATAAATACAGTCATTCAGTTCTGGACTACGAGCACTTATATGCATCACAATCTTGCAATGCTACCATCATCAGGCTTTACTTGCCATTTCAACAGGAACATTTCATCATTTTGGAGCATCTTTCCTCGTTCAAATACATCACGTTGTCAACTAAACCTTCATTAATCTGATGTGTTTTCTTTAGGAGAGCTTACGGGTCAATCAAAGCAGAGCCAGAGCCAAGGCTCAGAAGGAAGAGCAGCGACAGAGACAGCTGAGAGAGTCCCTGCAGGCAGAGGGATTCAACAGTATCCAGCATATGTACCAGCAGAAACAGCTAGAGGAGATGCAACGAAAACAAGAGTATGTCCTCTCCTCTCCCTTTCTTCTCCCACACGCATGTCCTCCACTCCCACGCCGTGCAGCAGCGTGTGGGTGTTTTCTCTCGCTCATGGCCGCGTTTCAGTATCATGCAGTGTTGTTGATTTGCAGAGGTGGAGAAAGTACTCAGAGGCTTTACTTAATTAAAGTAGATAGTCTTATAATACTATATTACAGTATATATTCTCATTACGCAGAATGGCTTTTTTAAACCGTTATACAATATTATTATTTTGTTTTTATCACTATCATTTTGCGATTTGTCAATGTGGAGCAGATTTTATTATTTTATTTTTATTATTTATATTTTATTTTGTATGATATTAGTATTATTGCTGTTATTATTTTTATTATCATGTATTTATTTAATTATTGTTATGTCTTAATCCAACAAGGAGGATGCATAAAAATACATTAATCTCAAAAGTTATTGCCCAAAAATGTTTTAATTAAAAAAAATTATTTTTTTAATGGCTAAAAAATCTAATTGGTATCAAAGATCATTCCTAAATATTTGAATTTGAACGTTTTTCATTATTTGTCTACTAACGCTAAGCTGTGGATTCACAATATATTTTAAGCCTATTCAGTCAAATACATCTTCACGATCATTGTCATTATGTCTTATTATATTTTTTGATAGCTAGTTACTATGAGCAGTGGCGGCTGGTGGAAAATATTTTTGGTGGGGCTGTTGATATAGTGAGTAAACATTTTTTTTTTGGGAGAAATGACCCCTTAAATTGGGACTTCTGGTGATGTAATGGCCCCATAAAATCGTGGTTCTAGGGCCAGGAACAACCAGGCTGAGTCGGGCTGAGTATGCTAAACTAGAGAGAGAATCGCTGTCAAGGGGGCTACAACTACAACAAGATGAACATATTTGACCGTGATTTAATTGTAATACACGTTTCAAAATGATGCCGAAGTAACAACATACTGATACCGGATAGTAAAAACCATGAATTAAGGCTTTGACAAGTCTGCAGACAGACGGCAGGCGAAAAACCTTTTAAAATGCGTGTTTTCTAATGGAGATTTGGCTAAGCTAACGTTGTAAATGCTCCGACCGTCCACACTCACAACAACGGCCTATACAGACATAAATAAACCAGCGACTGTATTCGCCATGACACAGACAGTATGTGGTTTGTACTTGTTTAACTTTTGTCTAGTTTCTGAACAGATATGAACAGCTGTGA